TTGTCCGAAGATCCTTTTTCAAATTTGACTAGACTATACAGCCGTCTCATTTCGGTATCGCCCTAATACTGTGGTGTACTTTTGGATAGTAGGGTGTAAATGATTTATTCATGTTATCTTGTCTTGTGCCCATTTTTTCATTCTAATTTCTATCCGTTAATTTGAGAACATGCCTGTATTTTTCGCTGTAATGGAATACAATCATTATACACTTGTTTACTTTTTCTGTTTCTTTCCGAAACTGAAAATAACACGGCAGCAAGAAAGAATCTGTTATAAAGCTTCGTGTTTTAGTCACTGCTTCTAATATTCGTAAAAGTATTTGCCATTTGATTATTTCAGTTGTCATTTATGGAAAAATTTTAGAAGACCTTTTAAAGTAGGAGGGCTAATCGAGCAATTCATTATATTTACGAAATAATCTCTAAATGATAGTCGTAAAAAGCGAAACGACAGCGGCGAACTACGACATTATGCTATGTTTATTTGTTGTTGTTAATTGATTGCATGTTTATTTTTCCAGAAGGCTTTTTTATTACAAATCTATTATTTTCGTTCAGATATATTCATGCTCGAGCAAAAGATGTTAGTGTGTGTAGCTGAAAATTATAAAAATAAAAAAAAAAAATAAATAGACAAAACAAAAAAGGCTTTTTCTTGCATTTGAAACTGACAGGGAGCGAAAATGTTCCATTTCGCAGATTAATCCAAAGCTCAAAATCAGCTGAAACGTAGCAAAACCACCTGTCACTTAAACAAAATTTTATTTGTTTCCATGGAGTCAGACGAGAACCTGGTTTCGACAGTTCGTTTAACACCGTACCTCTGGAGACCGGCTGCATGTAATTTTTCCTAAATAATGAAAGGCCTTAAGGTTTGAGTCTTTATGTCACACTGTGTTATATGAAAAACTACCGAATCTAGAACACAGCAAAAGTGGAAATTAACACACCTACAATAAATGAAACCACCGAGCAAAAATCCCGAGTAAACAGTGTATAAAAAGCTAAGATTGCATTTCTTACATCATAGTTAAAATCATCATAGTTAAAACCTGGCCATGGTTAAAGCTGCCTGGTATTGAAAATGAAGAGAAGCGTCTACAAAGGAACGAAAGCTTTGGACCCCTTTGTTGATATATAACGTTAACTAAGAATAATCGTGACTTTCACAGTTGATTTCCACTTTGCTGCCCTTTTAATTCCTCACGAAGCAAAGATGAAGACCTCGCGAAGAGAGGTTTGGGGATCGTGCCATGTTTTGGATCGCTGAGCGAGAAGTTGACACTCGCTACATTTCTGTCTGTTTGGTTGCTGTCCATTGTTGCTTAGCAACAAAACTACGACAAAACAGACTAGCCCGGTTGCTTTTCCGGCTGTTTGCCCTACGGGCAAAAATAACGAGGAAAGAGAAAAAGAGAAGCAAGGTCTAGAGCGTTAAGGGCTCTTTAGGCTTGGATGAAAAAATAAAATAAAGTAAAAATGATAATAATAATAATAATATTAAAAAAAAACTTATCAGTAAGTGTTCATTCATCTTGATCAATACTGACGTTTTCTTTTTTCTTCTTCTTTTTTTTTTCTCATTTCTATCGAACAAATAGATCTCGTCTTTCTTAGTCGACTGTCGTCTGCATCTGGTAAGTCCATTAGATTTGTTTTTTTGTTTGTTTTTGTTAATGTTGTTGGTGTATTAGCAAAGAAAACTTGGCCTGAAGTATTTTCTTTTTCTTTCTTCCTTTTTTTTTCCAATAAAGTGGTATGGGGCTAACCTTGCACTCTTTTTCCTTAGCATCAATTTTTATATCGACACATTGTAAATAATAAAATTTACGAAAAATGATTATAATGACGATAATGATATGATCTGATGCTCTGTCGAAAAATATGTTTTAAATTTCAAGGCCAAATCACCAAACAAATACAATTTGGTAAATTCTTCATTAGAATCTAAAATTGTGGCACAAGGACTGTCAAGCTGAATCAGGACCTCTCATTTCTATCTCCACTAAAACATCATATCCCACAATCAACTGAAGCTTTGGGCAAGCATACCCTGGCTTGCAGATAGGAGATAGTCCGCCGGCAGTTTCCCTAGTCTATTCGCGTGCGTCAACTTTCACAAATGTGTTAGCGTTGTATTTAAAGGTTAAATTTGACCAAGTATATAACTGCGATGATCATCCTTCATTTAATTCTTCACACAGCAGTTCACATATATTTACATATATTCATAACGTCATCGTCAATGTTGGAAGTTGTTTCGTCCGTTTGTACGTAGCTTTATTGACGCAGTAAAACTAACAAACATTTTTTAAATGAAACATGAAATCAAATATAAACATGCAGCTGCTTGCGCGAAAGTGATGTCAAATGCAATTGGCTTTTGTCATTCGTTGCTTGACAACCACGTTATTTTTGAACAGTGTATATTCTTCTTCGTTCGATGCGGCGGCGATATTAAAGTTGCACAATATCTGTAGCTTTGCGACATTGCTGTTTCTCCATCATGGCAAAACAAACTGGCATCTGTGGGATATCACAACTGGTTTTTTTCCTTCGTAAGTATTTAATAGTCAACCCAACATTCTTTTAACAACCTTGCATAAAAACCAAGTTCACGAAAGTATCAATATTCTGTCAGTAATACATGAACGAGTATCTAGAGGACCGAATCTACAATTATCCCTGAAGTGAAAACCATGGTTTTACTGTGAGGGCTGGTTTCTCTTTGGCAATTAAAGTATTTCATACGAAAGCAGTGGAGTGAAGCCAGTATGCAGTATGCAGTACGCATATTATACCCAACAGTCACTAAAAATACTAAACAAATTGTCCGAAGATCCTTTTTCAAATTTGACTAGACTATACAGCCGTCTCATTTCGGTATGGCCCTAATACTGTGGTGTACTTTTGGATAGTAGGGTGTAAATGATTTATTCATGTTATCTTGTCTTGTGCCCATTTTTTCATTCTGATTTCTATCGGTTAATTTGACAACATGCCTGTATTTTTTCGCTGTAATGGAATACAATCATGCATTATACACTTGTTTACTTTTTCTGTTTCTTTCCGTAACTGAAAATAACACAGCAACAGCAACAAAAAAGAATCTGTTATAAAGCTTCGTGTTTTAGTCACTGCTTCTAATATTCGTGACAGTATTTGCCATTTGATTATTTCAGTTGTCGTTTATGGAAAAATTTTAGAAGACCCTTTAAAGTAGGAGGGCTAATCGAGCAATTCATTATATTTACGAAATAATCTCTAAATGATAGTCGTAAAAAGCGAAACGACAGCGGCGAACTACGACATTATGCTATGTTTATTTCTTGTTGTTAATTGATTGCATGTTTATTTTTCCAGAAGGCTTTTTTATAACAAATCTATTGTTTTCGTTCAGATATATTCATGCTCGAGCAAAGGATGTTAGTGTGTGTAGCTGAAAATTATAAAAATAAAAATAAAAAATAAATAAATAACAAAAAAAGGCTTTTTCTTGCATTTGAAACTGACAGGGAGCGAAAATGTTCCATTTCGCAGATTAATCCAAAGCTCAAAATCAGACAAACGTAGCAAAACAACCTGTCACTTAAACAAAATTTTAATTTTTTCCATGGAGTGAACGAGAACCTGGTTTCGACAGTTCGTTTAACACCGTACCTCTGGAGACCGGCTGCACGTAATTTTTCCTCAATAATGAAAGGCCTTAAGGTTTGAGTCTTTATGTCACACTGTGTTATATGAGCTAAAAATAAAAGAGAAAACAAAGAAAGAAAGAAAAAGACAAGGAAAGAAAAATTATTGACAAGAAACGATGGAAATAATAGGTACAAAAGTAGCGGGGCAAAATGCAGTGAAAAACTATAGAATCTAGAACGCAGCAAAAGTGGAAATTTACACACCAACAATAAATGAAACCACCGAGAAACAATCCCGAGTAAACAGTATATAAAAGGCTAAGATTGCATTTCTTACATCATAGTTAAAACCATCATAGTTAAAACCTGTCCATGGTTAAAGCTGCCTGGTATTGAAAATGAAGAGAAGCGTCTAAAAGGAACGAAAGCTTTGGACCCCTCTGTTGATATATAACGTTAACTAAGAATAATCGTGACTTTCACGGTTGATTTCCACTTTGCTGCCCTTTAATTCCTCACGAAGCAAAGCTGAAGACCTCGCGAAGAGAGTTTTGAGGATCGTGCCATGTTTTGGATCAGCTTGGATCTCTGAGCGAGAAGTTGACACTCGCTACATTTCTGTCGGTTATGTTGCTGTCCACTGTTGCTTAGCAACAAAACTACGACAAAACAGACTAGCCCGGTTGCTTTTCCGGCTGTTTACCCTACGGGCAAAAATAACGAGGAAAGAGAAAAAGAGAAGCAAGGTCTAGAGCGTTAAGGGCTCTTTAGGCTTGGATGAAAAAAAATAAAAATAAAAATAAAGTGAAAATGATAATAATAATAACATTAAAAAAAAAAAAACTTATCAGTAAGTGTTCATTCATCCTGATCAATACTGAAACTGAAGCTTTGGGCAAGCATACCCTGGCTTGCAGATAGGAGATAGTCCGCCGGCAGTTTCCCTAGTCTATTCGCGTGCGTCAACTTTCACAAATGTGTTAGCGTTGTATTTAAAGGTTAAATTTGACCAGCTATTTGTGCAGCAAGTTCTATAGTCGCGATTGCCTTCAAAATTGCACATATAAAACTAGAGAGCTCTGAGGATTATTTCCCGAAGATAGAGAAAAATCTGTCTTAGGGTTTCGAAATTATTGACGTTTTTTTTGTAAAAATGTGGTTTTAAACATATGCCGATATCTCAAACGTTTTTATACCTACAAGAAAATTAATAAAAATTTTCTTAAAGTTCAACCATACTTTATTAAGGATGCCGGCCAAAAATCATGGAAATCGGTTAAATCATTCCTGCCGGAAAACGCGATTCAAAAACATAACCAACACCGCATATAAATAGGTTCGGGCCACCTTAAAGATAATTTATAAGGTTTGCTATTGTTTTTCAGTTTGTTCCTCGCGTGGTACACACTTTCCAAGTTATTCATTTGCGGATCAATATCTTACAAGCCCCAATTATCCCTACAACTATCGTCCTTCAACTACTTGTCTATGGAGTTTGAGTCGACCGTCATCGCCTTACGCTGTAAAGCTTACATTCCACTACTTTTCCTTGGAATCTTCATCTGGTTGCACGCACGATTACCTAGAAATTCGCGATGGTGACTTATACTCTAGGAGCACACTGATTGGAAAATTTTGCGGGAGCAGACAACCACCTATAATAGTATCAAAGTACAAGTATCTTTTTGTGAAGTTTGTCAGCGATCGTGATTACTTTCCTTCGACACGAAAATTCCAGGCAACGTTTAGAGCCTTTGTACCATGTAAGTATTTGATAGAAACTCTCTTGGTGAGTGTGTGACCAAGTGGAGTTGCAAATTATAGGATACTGTTACGAGTTTTCAATCCTGTCCTTTAGGCTATTAGCTATCTAAGCAGAGTTAGGCGTGCATTGTTCTCCGAAAGCTTGACTTTTTCATGCTTTTTGGTGACAAGAGAGTGCGAAATTTTAGTGGCTTATGATCGTCCATACCTTTGTCCAAACCCGAAGAAATATCAACAGACAACAAAAATCAATACCATAATGAATCAGTACTATCTCCATCTAACGAAAAACCTTGGGACGGGTGTGGGGATCAATCACAACAACTAATTTGGGGACTGATGACACAATTATAGCATCAAAAGCTTGCAGCTAGCCTCCTCCGCAGCCAGGAAATTCTTTTTGTAACGGTTACACTGACCGTGAGGGGTCTGAAAACTAGGAAAAGAAAAAAAAAATGAAAGTCACTACTCGTTTCCTCTCCATTCTTCCACCCGTCCTCTAAAACAAGACAGTGAAGACTACGGTATATGTGTACGAAAACTGATGAAAAGCCAAAATGCTAATTTTGTATTTCTGTTGACATTCCAGCAATGTTGAGCGGCATTTGCTCGATAAACAGTCCATTTCTCCATAACAACAACTTACGGCTGACTAGTTCATCTCGAGGGACTTTTCGAAGCCCCTCTTACCCCTCTTACTACCCAACCAACATGTTGTGCACCTGGAAGATCACCGCGCCGGCAGGCAAGAGGATCAAGATTTCTTTCAACTATTTCAGGCTTGAAAGTGGTATTTGTTCCTCTAATGACTTCCTGGAAGTTCGAGATGGTTCGTCTTCGACGAGTATAAGGAAAGGCACTTACTGTGGAAGCTATGCCCCGACTATTACTTCTAGTGGCCAATATCTATGGATTCGCTTCAGATCTGACTCTTTAATTGGCTATAAAGGCTTTGAAGCTCGTTATTCATTTGTCAAAGTTGCTTGTAAGTAGTCACAAGTTTGCTGTCTGAACTCACTGTACAGATAGTGTGGTGAACTTGAATTGAGGAAATAGCTATGAAATTAGAAGCTGAGACGTTCTCAATACTCTTTTATGGTTGCAACAAATTAGAACCAGTTACCTGACAGTCTCTTGCCTTTTCAAAATGATTGAATGGAAACGGGTACTATACTGCAGCTGGAGTATTGAGTATGGAGATTTGTAGCTTGTTCCAGGCATTCAGATTGTAGGGATGGCGCAAGGAGGTGGGGTAGTGGGTGAGAAGTAAGGTTTCCTTCTCTCCCCATCTCCAACTATTCCTCCTTATTCATAATCACCCCTGAAAAGGCCCTTTATCAAAAAGCACTTTGGAAAATTTAAAACAATATAAAAATAGCGCTATATTTTACGCGAGATCAGGCCCATGTCATGGCGTTTTTACGGACTGATTTAATTATTTTAGAGTTTAGAGCACTTTTTCCCGCGAAAATGGAACCTCCCCTCCGTCTCTGAATGCATTCGAAGGGTAAGATTTGAAAAAGGAAATTAATGGTTATTAAAATGTCAAAAATAACATTTTCGGGTCCGAAGGTTTTGTTGACGGGTTTGTGGGACTTAATTAAAGATATTTTGCAGTATATGTTGCAGTTTTTCTTTACGATTTTACCTTTATTTGGTCTGAAATCATACTTGTGATGTCAAATCGAACTCGCGCTGCGCACTCGTCAGCTTTTGAAATCATGCGCATGATTTCAGACCAAATTGTAGTCCACTCAGTTTAATTACCATTGTACATTATACAAGTTAGCTATTCATTCATCCACTTATCTACTGTTCTTTATTCTGTTTCCTTAACCAGCAAGCAAAGTAGTTACCGTGGTTGCAGTCGTCATAACAATTGCTATTATAATAGCAGTGATCGTCGCCGTCATCTACTACTTGAAAAGAAGAAACAGACGCGTTGTACGAATTCAGGCTGTGCCCATTGCCACCACCACAACAACTATGACCACTACTCAGCTACCCCCTGCTGGATACCCTCACGTGATTACACAGCAGTACCCACCTCCTGGTATACACCCTACTCCAGCCCCACCCCCTAGTACCATATCTTCTCTTACCCTAGGCTCACATCCTCAAGTGGCTTATCAAGCGGCTATTGTACCGATCAATCCTGGTAATGGAGCCTACTCAAATCCTCCGGGGGCAGTGCCAACAGCGCAAGCTCCCCCTCCCTACTACTGACAGTAAAAGAAGTACAGGCCGCTCCACCTCAAGCTGCATCCTCGTTATCGTTCTTACATGCATTCATTTATGCTTTAAACTTTTTCGTTTTAAAGCCTGTACTCTATGATCTGATAAGATTGCCCCATTCACGGCCGAAACAAGATTAAAGATCAACGCGGCTTATGCAATACATGTCGCATTTTGAAAGATAATTTATCTGCGTTAACTTTGTAAGGTGTATCTAAGGCTTTTGTATTTCCGTAACGTAAACAAAATGGACGTTAAAATGGCAAACTAAACAAACTCGGCCATAATTCAGATCGAATCAGAAATTGTGAGAGAGTGTCTTCAGTTGGTTAAACATACCCAGTAACTATTGATATGCAAAAGGATCGAATTATCGGCTCCCGTTAGGAAAATGCGAGTTTTTTCCGAGTCTGATCACCTATATAGCTATGCCATCAGGGGCACCCAACGACTGTTTTCTGTGAAATATCTGTTCGAAGAAGTAAAAATTGCCTAGAATTTTCTAAAGCTTGAGGAAGGCTAAAGATTTCTAGATGACCGTTCCATTCATGTACAATTTTAGAAGCTTATCTAATAAATTCCTTACCGTTTTCTAATTAATTTTTGCCATTTTACTCCCCAGGTTAAGCTATTTTTCGTAGAGAAAGGAAACCTAAAATTTTTCGGAATCGAAAATGCAATGCAGAGAAGAATTAGAAAAATTCTCACTTTCGTAAAACTTTAAATTGCAGCTAAAATTTTCGGGAAATTAATATTGAGGCCCTTGTAATTTCGAAAAGACTCAAGTTGCCCTAAGATGACCGAACATATATAAATTTTTTTGCGCCACTTTGAATACATTCCTAGAGATCTAAAAGTAGACTACCCTGGATAGCCTAAAAAGTGTTTTCAATACAGTTAGGAGGAAACCGTCGTTGGGTGTCCCTAACTGGAAAAGTAACACACACTAGTATCGTGTAGCCCCCAAGGTTATTAAAATATGCCATCACATTTGTATAAACCGTAACCGAGTTACCAATGGAAGCATATCACTTTTCAGGCGTTGTTCACCGTTAATTTTATACAGAACTGAACCTTATTGAAAATATAAGCAAGAGAAATAAAGGCTTCAGGTGATGAGACTGGCTGTTCCGTGAAGGTTAGACATATTATTAATTTCATTTTAATTTCAAGAGTATAGACGTTGATTTACAGATACCATAGAAATTCAAGTCCCATAACTCGGAATAATACACTTTGGATTCAAATTCAAAATTACTGTTCCGTGAAGGTTAGACATATTATTAATTTCATTTTAATTTCAAGAGTATAGACGTTGATTTACAGATACCATAGAAATTCAAGTCCCATAACTCGGAATAATACACTTTGGATTCAAATTCAAAATTAAATATTAAGTTTTTTATTCCATAAATAATACTGATCCTGACGCAACTTAAAAATCCTGCTAAACCAGGAAAACGGAATCTCCCACCGGGGAGAAATGCCGTAAAGTGATCGTGAGATTTAATAAGGGAAAAAGGTCACTTCTGATCATAAACATCGCATTTGCAAATAATAAAAATAATAATAATGATGATAATAATGCAAAGTTGTTGTTTGTGATTCTAAGACCCACTAAAGTTGCTCATCTCCGTCTTTTGCGGTGTTCTTACGGTAATTTGTCTGCTAGCGCCATGCTGTGGTTTAAGGGAAATTGTTGTTCTTTTAGCCATATAATCGCCCTTAGGGAATCTTTCACAGTGATAGTAGTGGATTCTGGATTCCACGCTGTAAATTCCTCAATTCCAGTTACTGGATTCCGAACTTTGTCAGTGGACTCCGCCTGGATTTCGGATTCCACAACCCCATTTGTTTAAAAAAAAAACACAGTTTCCATAAGCAAAAATTTCCCGGCTGCGATCTTTGTATCCTTTCACTACAGAATGTAATGTAAATTAAGGGCTAAGCAGTGGGCGAGACAGCCTGGGAAGGAGTTAATTTAAGCTTCCAGTGCAGATCCTGATGAACGTCAGACAAAGTATGTAGTAACAGCATTTTAAAAGTCTTCCATTGCGTTCAAAACCAGAAAAGAAGTTACAACATAGTGATTCATCGCTCATGAACAAGGTTATGTATATGTACCATACCGATAGAAATGAAAGACATTTACTGTCATAACGTTCTGTATACTAAATAAAGAGTTTTACTGATCATGAATGCGCATGCGTAAGTTACTTAATTGGTTTCCATGTTACGTCATAAAGGTAACTAGGAAGTCGAAGAGTAGTCATGCAACATTGCAGAAGCGCTTAACAAGCGTTATTAAAACTATTGAGAAAATCTTTTTTCGAAAACTGAGTCGTAAAAACTGATTTATCAAAATGTGTCACAAGGGAGGAGGTAAGTGTGTAGTTGTGTTAATGTACCCTTAAATTTCGGGCAAAAAGAAAGATTTATATTAGAAGGTGATGTTACTCGTTGGGTTAAGCTAGTGTCATTTACCGCTAATTCACAAAGCGGGTTGTGTTTGGAGATTAGGCGTTTTTTGACGCGCTTTCGACATAAATACGGTGACTCCAAGTTAATTTAAGCTGTTTTCAGAGAGATTTTTTTGTAGGAAAAATAAATGAATAAGGATATTTATTTTTAAGCTATTAAAGCTTGATTTGAGTTATCACTGCTGAGGCGGCGCGCGCGTTGCTGAAAACTTTGCAAAGGAAAACAAAATTTTTGATCAAGGGAAGATTTCTATATTTTCATCAAGATCGCGAGCTACCTCAATACGAACAGAGGGAGCTGCCAATGAAAACAGCTATTCCGGAAAAAGAGCATTTTCGCTAGAGTTGGCATAAATAACATATTTCAAAAAACGTTCCATTTGACGCCATATTTGACGCCATAATGATATAGAATATTTTTCCGCGAGCAATCTTAAAGCGTGAACCCTAAGAGTAAAGAAACACCAGTTCTCCAAAAAAACAAATTGTTACCTTTGGCGAAATTCATTTCGAAAAGCAAAAAGAAATAAATAGCAAAGTTTAAAGTTTGCTATTCAGTATAACCGACAGCCGCATTCGCTGACGACAGCCGCATTCGGTATATCTTAAATTTTCGAGCGTTTTTGCGCTCTCCTCATTTGACGGTCAATAGGCTGATTTAGCAACAGAACGGTAACGTCAGTTGACGACGGCTCGCGCAAATTAAATAATAGCTTGACCAAAACACCGCGGCAAAACGCAATGCGCATGAGCACAAAATTTGACATCCGGTCAGCTTTTTATTTCCGGTCTAGTATATAAACCAATAGCGTAAGCATAACATTGCCGTCGCACCAAGTTTAAAAGCAAAAAGGGAGAAACAGACAAAAAAGGGGGCGAAAAAAGTCACTTCATTCGAAAGCTTATATATTTTTCTAGCGTCAAACATTGCACCACATGGTTATCTGTTTGCACCAACAGTGAAAATGATGTTTGAAGTTTGCAGGTCGCGAGTTACTGGAACCGGAAACGGGAAGCGAAGGACTTTGAAAAAGTCTAGGAAAACTACAACAACTGAGTCTTAATGGTATGTGCGTGCGCACTAAAACGTAATTTGAATGACGTATTCAATCGTCAGCAAGTAAAATCTTGCAACTGAATGACGGTTAACAAGACTTTGTATTGTAAAAAAATCACCTTCCTTGTACCTTTATTAGATTCACTTTTAGTCTGAAGCGACTGAAATCCATCTTCCGGTTCGTCCTACTTCACGTCGTCGTAGGCATTTTCATGAGGGTCGGTCTTGGTTTCACAGATGATTGAGATTAACATTATATGAGCTTTTGTTGCTTTTCGGAGACCTTCGCTCTATATGTGACGAGTTGTCAAGCGTCTACGATAAAAGAAATGACTATGCGTTTCGAATCGTGAATTTTCGGCATATAGACGGCAACATTCCCACATACGTATGTATCTCAACTGGTGAGATATGCTTGTTTGTTGATAGGCTTCAGCCGACTTTCCTCGCGTCTCAATCAACAAGGATTTAAATCCAATCTACTTCTCAAAACCTTAAACAAGTTCTTCAAGCGCCATGGGGCTATCATCAACAAGTACCAAACTACACTGCGAGAGATGAGACTGGCAATCAATGACTGAATGGTCCCGCCATATCCTTTATTAAAGCCTATCCTTTACTAAGTTAGTCCATTTAATACCATTTCAGTTAGTGTAGGTTGTGTGCGCGGGCATTATTTAAACATGCGCGCGCTTTCTTTTACTGCTTAATTGACGTGTGTATTTAGTTCGTTAATTAACGCATATATACATTTTTTTGGTTATTTTCCTACTCATATACCTTGTCGGTCACTGTGCTCAAGTTGTAAGTGGCTCCTTCTAAAATTTTCTACAATCGGTATAGGATTTAATGGAGCCGAAACAATTGTGGAATAAGACGCATTTAAGGGATCCTATACTGACGAACGGTTACGGCTTTTGGATATTTTTATGTTTTAAATATTTCGCAGAGCAGAAGCAATTTGTCGTCTGTCCTCTTTAAATTGAGTACGCGTGAAAAATTCCGACGTATGTACAAACTAAAGAGCGAAGAAATTTAGAAATTAATAAGGGTAAGCAATCATCAGCAATTCGACGAACAGACGATTCAAAAATGCCAGTGTGTCGTAAAATAAGGCACGGGTCAAAATTAAGGTATTTTCGTTGAAAAGTGACGGTGTGGTCTATATTCTTAACTATTTATCGTAAGTTTTAAATTGTGTGTGACATGCAATTTCTCAAAGAGTTATACTTTTATCACATCAACATTATGTAAATTAGATCGCGTGACCTCCTACGGCCGCAGAGTCCTAAAAAATCATCAAGCAAAAAAGGCAGCAGTTTAAATTCGAAGTTATTCAACTTAATTGCTACAAGACAACTAACAATATAAAGAACTACGAAACTGTACTTGGCAACATTTGAATATGTAATTACTTTTATAAGATAAACGGATCTTTTCACTAGTACCCAGTC